TGAGTGTGTAACATATATTTGCAAACAAACTGTAATAACATGAAAAAAGAAGAAAAACATTTTTAATATCTTATAAATGTGGGTCCAATTTGTATTTTCAGAGAAATGCTTCATATTATCATAATCAAACATGCACTTATATATTGGAAACAAGAATAATGATAATCAAATTTAAATGTATTTATAAAATATAAAATAAAATTTAAAATATATAACAAAAATAATTGAAATAATTTCTAACACAGATTACTGAACCATACTACTTAAGAAGCAAAATAATGTATGACAATGTATTGTATGTATTGTATGTAAAATTTAACGCTAAAATATAATAAAATTGATAATGTATATTTAAAAAATTCACATACATATGACAGTATCTAAAAATACAATTTATTCTTCAAATCTAAAACTTGTCAAAAATCTGTGACCGTTCTCCATACAAGAACTGCTATATTACCTCCAATAAAGATATATAACATCGATTTTTCTTGATACGTAATTGCACATGCATATGCTTCTCCCACAACTACCTGGAAAGGTGGTCCAAATTTTTTATCTAAATTATCTTTGATCATGCGAGCTGCATGTTCATAATCCTCTGAATATTTTTCTACAGCAGTGACACAAGTTTCTATAGCTTCTTGCTTTATTTCCTCTGGCATATCGCTATACTACACAACAAATTTTTGCTAGTTAAAATTTAAATACTTTTATTAAGATGTGATATAATAAACTATTTCAATTTTTACCTTACATAATGGATATGTATGAACCATCAAAGTTTCTATATCTTTTTTTACTTCCCCAGCCCACATTTTGCAAAAATGTTTCCTTAATTATTGTATATTGTACAATAAAAACAACAAAATTATATTATTTTTTTATTAATATCCGATACAACGATTTAGTATATATATTTGGTTATATTAAATATGCATTTAACAATTGACTGTATAACACATAAAATACTATAATAAAATTCTCAAACATAAGTGAATATGTATATATACATATCTGAGAATGTATAATTTTATATTCATTATTAACATATATTATCTTTACTTATTTCAATTAATAGATAAATTATTAATTTTTTAAACTTACAATTAAAACTTACTAAAAATTGTAGAAATATAATTATTCAATATCAATGAAATATTATTAGAAATATAATTATTCAATATATCAATAAATTAATGTTACTGCATATATCAATGAACAATTCAAAATGCAGTAACATTGTCATTTTTTTCTATTATAAAATATTTCGATATTTTGATTATTTATAATAAATTAAATATATTATGTATCGAAATATTTTATAATAAATTAAATATTTGCAAAATAAAAGAGCACGTAAAGATTTATATTAACTATATTACATTATATTAAATAAATAAGATATATTCTAAAAAATAATTTCTTAACAGCGTGTCTTATTTTAA